AAATACAGAAATAAAAAAAAAAAAAAAAAAGAACAATTACAAAATTATATTTTTTAAAAATACATTAATATAAAACACATTAAATTAATAATACTTTGCTTTATAAAATTTTTTTTTTTTTTTTTATTTATTTTAGACAACGAATACCAATAGATGTTGAAGTTGGGGATACTGTAATCTTTAATCCAAGTGATGGAAATAAAGTAAAATAATTTTTTTTTTTTATTATAAAAGAAATGAGAAAAACAAAAATATTAAAATACAAAGAATTTATTCTTAATAATATATATATATATATATATATTTTTTTTTTTTAGATAAAATATAATGATAAAGAATGTTTATTAATATCAAATGAAGAGATATTAGGGAAGATAAAAGATTCTACTGAAATAAACCCTTTTAATATTATTCCTTTATATGATCGTGTATTGATAAAATTAATAAATGTAAATGTTAATTCAGATTCTTTAATATTCTTACCAGAATCAAAAAATAGTGAAAAAAGTAATGATGGTTTAGTTATATCTGTTGGAAATGGAATTTATGATGAAAATAATCAGAAAATACCTATAGACATACAAAGAAATGATTATATAAGATTTTCACCTTTTTCTAATGAAAGTTGTGAATTTACATATAAAAATGAAAAATATACTTTTGTAAAAGCTAGATATATAATGGCTAAATATTAAAAATGAGTTTTTCTTTCTTTTATCTTTGCTTATATATATGTACATTTTTACTTTTAATATGAAGAAAAATTTTTCAATAATGTATCTACTGGAAGATTTTTAAATAAAGAAGAAATTTATTTTAAATTTTAATTTATTTTATCATTTTTGTTTATGAACTAATTTTTAAAAATAATTTTACTTCAAATAATTTTTTTGTTTATATAAACTGATGATATATATAAAAAAAAATAAATTATTAATATTCAAATAATTATAATTAAAAGTATATTATTAAAAAAAATTAATAATTATGAACATAATAAAAAAATTATAAAACTTATTAAAAGCATTAAAATAATTGTAATTAAAAAAAAAGCACATTCTTAGAGAGGCAAAAAAAAAAAAAAAAAAAAAGTAAAATACAAATATATAATAATATTAGTAAAATTGAATTAGAAATAATAAAAAATTGAAAATATGAAATAAAACTATTATATTAGTTTTTTTTTTTTTTTTTTTTTTTTTTTTTTTTTTTGATTTGATAATGATGAATAAAAAAAATTATAATCTAAAATTAATTAAAGAAATAACAGCTTTTAATAAATCAAAAGTAATTATAGGATAAAATTTTGAAAGATATATATCATTGATAATATTAATTATGTCTTTAATTTTATAATTATGAATAATTTTTTTTAATGATCTATAATTAATACCATACATAAGAGATTTACTATACTCATACTTTTGAATATAATAATTTATTAATTTCTTTTCATAAATATTATCTTTGGAATAACTATTAATAGTATTCTTTAAGTTCTGAATAAATTGAATTGAAACATAAATACATATAGCTTCTTCTAATTCTGGAGATAAATAAAAAGACAAATTTTTGTGACAATCATAGTCATTTTGTTTTTTTACAAAAAAAGAATTGTCATGTAACTTTTTAACTATTTGATAAATATATCTAAAATTTTTAGATTTTTTTGGTTCTAAAAGCCAAATATATGTATGCATCAATTCATGAGATATAAAGAAAAAGAAAGATATTTTTGGTAGAGAGTCTGTTAATGAAAAGTGATCTATTAATTGAATTTTTTCTTTACCATCAATAAAGATTTTTTCTAAATTTATATTCTTATATTTATAATTAGACAAACCTTTATTTTGTTCATGCATTTGAATTAACTTTTTTTTTGAAACAGTTACACAACCGCAAGAAGCCACCGTTGTTTCATTTAATTTGTTTTTAAACAAATTATTAAGATGTAATATATCATAATATTTTAATTCATTATTTAATAATCTATCATATATTTCATTTTCCCTATATCTATTCATAAAATATAATTTAAAATTTATGTTATATTTTTCCATTATTATTTTATTTTCCTCTAAATTGTTACAATTCATCTCTTCTTTATTTTCTTCATCTACAGAAGAAAAGATATTATCACAACTTTTTTTTCTACTTTTACTTATTCCTCTTTTTTTTCTAAAATATTCTAAAAAAGGTGAAGTTGCATTATATAAGCTTGAAATTCTTGAATTTCGTATATTTTCCTTTTTTTCGTTTTTATTTGATTTATTTTTTGAAAAAGATATAAAATTATTAGTTACTTCTTCTTTAATCAAATTTGGTAATTTTTCTTTCTCTAATACAATTATTTTTGTATTATTTGTGTTTTTTAATTTTTCCTTATTTGGTTGTACTAGTTTTGTTTCATTTTTGCAATATACATAATTTTTCTTTTTTTTTTTTAAAATATTTAATTCATTAAAGAAATTTTTGATTATGTTACTTTTTTCTTTTGTTTTATCTTTCATATCAATTAAAATTTTATTTTTTAAGTTAGAAATGCATGAATCAGATAAATGATATGATTTATTTGAGTAGTTTTCCATTGTATAACTTTGTGAATTATTTTCATTATTTAATTTACTCTTTTCATATGGAAGATAATAGTTACTAATATCAATTTTGTTATTTTTTATAAGATCATATTCGAAAGTGCAACAATGATTCATTTCATTAAAATTAATTTTATTAAAAGTATAAATATTCTGAAGTAAAATAAAATCTCTAGGTATCTTTATATCTAAATAATTATCTAAAAAATATAAAATTTCTCCTATAATAGTTGATGTATTTTTGTTACAGCATACTATGGCTAATTTTCTACATTCCTCACATAAATTATCATTTAAAGAACCACAACTACAACAAACAGAATTAAAAATATTTTTCTTAATTTTCTTTTCACATGCAAAGCATGATTTTAAATTATTTTTGCAAGAGAGACACATTTTATAAGATCTCCAGAACAAATGACTATATGCTACTCCCCTTATAATTTTATGACAATAAGAGCAAATAATATCTTGATAATCATTCATTTTTATTAAAAAAAAATTAACTTTAAACAAATTTAAACAAAAAATAATTAAACACTATAAAAAAATATTAATTTTTTTTTTTTAAACAATAAAATTTTGTTAAAAATCTATAAAAAATTAACAAGAAAATCAATTACATATATTTATATGTAAATGTAAAAATATTAAAAAATTTTAATGAACCAATAAGACTATTTTAAAGACTTAAAAAAACTTGAAATTAAAAAAAAAAAAATTCTTAAAAATTTACATAAATATATGATTAAAATTTACATTAAAGAGAAAAAAACAATAATACAAAATATTGAGAAGAAAAAGATCAAAATATGTTGTATATATATTAAAAAATGAAAAATTATCTTAAAATATTAAAAACAATATGACAAAATATATAAAATATTAACAAATATTTTAAAACATTTCTTTTTAATAATGTTTTAATTTGTTTTTTTTTTAAATTGTTAACAACTAAAAAAAAAAAAGGAAAAAAAAAAAAAAAAAAAAAAAAAAAAAAATATTTGCTTTACAACAAATAAAAAGCATGCTAATAAATATTCATTGAAAATTTTTTCTTTTATTTTTATTTCAATATTTTTAAAAAGTTTAATTAATTCATGTGTTTTATGTAAAAAAAAAAAAAAACAAATAGATGCTTTCTTTATTTAATCTAATTAAGTAACAATAAAAACATTCTACAAACAAATTATTCAGACAAAATTATTTGACATATATTTTCATTTTATGCATGCATTCTTCTCTTAGTTATAAAACTACATATATGAAAGCAATGATTCAAGGAAATTCAAAAAAAATTTATAAATAATAAAACAAAAAGAAATTAGTTTTAAAAATAATTACAAACTGAAAAAAAATAAATTAACAGAAATATATTTAAAAGAAAAAAAGAAAAGAAAAAAAAAAAAAAAAAATATAGTAAAATAATATAAAATACTAAGAAAAGGCGAAAATCACAGAAAATAAAAAAAAAAAAAAAAATCATTCCAAAATATAAAAAAAGGATATAAAAAAAAATTTAGAATGAATAAGATAGTATAATAATATAAAATTTGAATTACTGAAAAAAAAAAAAAAAATATATAAATAAGGAAATAATTATAATTGTATTCATAATGAAACAAAAAGCATAAATGAAAATATGCTTAAGAAAAACAGAAATAATAAAAAATAAAAAAAGAGAAGATAGTTTAAATAAAGGTAAGAATAAAATAAATATTTTCATAATAATATATGATAATAAAAATAATTCCATTCAATAAGAAATCTGAATACAAAGAAAAATGATAGAAATAATTAAATTCAATTTTTAATGAAAATGTAAAAAATGAAAAGTTGATGTATATAAAAATTTTATTAAACTTTTGAATTTATTATATTTTTATAAGAATAATATTTGCAAAGTAATAACGCTAATAAACAAATTAAAAAAGAAAAATATCTTGTTAAATATAAAAATAAAGGGGAATAAAAAGCAACATAAAATAAAATGAAAATAAATTTAAAAAAAAAAAAAAAAAATGAATATATAATTTTATAAACATCTCATCTATATATATCAAATTATTATTATTTAGTTAATGAAGATAGAAAAATTCTACATCTAAAATATTCATAAAAAAAAAATTTTATATAAAAAGAAAAAATGAGTAAAGGTATAAAAAAAAGAATAAAAAAACTTGAGAATACTTTATCATACTCATATTAGACAGCTTAATTTATTAATCTTTTTTCTTCTTTCACAAATTTTTTTTTTTTTTTTTTTTAGTTGTTTTATGATATAAAAACTATGAATTTTTTATATAAATATTTATATATTTTAGTTTTTTTTCATTTATGCAAAAAGAATTTATACATTTCATGTATATTAAATTACAATGGAAATAAAATAGTTAAGAACTGTTCTATTTCACTTAATAATATATTACGTGTAGAAACATATTTTCAAAAAGATAAGTTTGATGTTAAAAGGAGAAGAAATAGAAATTCCTTATCTAAATTATTAAACGTAAATTTAAAAAGTAAAAAGGTTAAAGGGAGAATTGACTTTTCATTATACAAATATCTTATTGATAATATAAAAAATAGAAAGAATGATAAAGTTCTTAACAATTATGAAAATAGATCTAACAATTTTTTGAATTCGTATTCCCTTACAAATACTTTAGAAGATAAAAGAAATAATCTGGATGATAAAAATGAAATAAATGATTTAGATAAGATTAATAATGAAAAAATCGAACAAAAAAAAAAGAGCATTAATATATCCCTAAGTAAAAATAAAAGAACAATTAAAAAAAATAATCAGTCATGTAAAAGTGAAAGAAATAAAAATTATGAAAATGATGAAAATGATGAAAATTATAAAAATGATGAAAATTATAAAAATGATGAAAATTATAAAAATGATGAAAGTGATGAAAATGATGAAAATTATAAAAATGATGAAAGTGATGAAAATGATGAAAATTATGAAAATTATGAAAATGATGAAAATGATGAAAATGATAAAAATGATGAAAATTATAAAAATGATGAAAATCAAGAAATAAATAACATGAATATTGATGTTTTAGAAAATGAGAAAAAATATAGTAGACAAATTTATACTCATGGTTATAATGAAGAAAAAAAAATAAGGAATGGAAAAATACTAATTGTTGGATTAAATGGGATTAGTAGTGAAATATGTAAAAATTTAATTTTGTGTGGTGTTAGAGAGATAGGTATATGTGACAACAATATTTTATCTTATGAAGATATAGATAACCTTTTTTTTTGTGATAAAAAACTAATAAATAAAGAAAAAAGAAGTGTTTCCTGTTTAAAAAAATTGCAGAATTTAAACAATAATTGTAAAATAAAAGCTATAACAACTATACATAATAATATTGATGAATATGATGTGGTAGTATTAGTAAACCAAAAAGAGGATTTTAATATTTACATGAATAATTTATGCAGAAAAAAAAAAAAAAAGTTTATAAGTGTTAATACTGTTGGATTATTTGGTAGAATTTTCGTTGATTTTGGTAATTTTACTTTTTCAAATAATACTAATAACGAAATGTATAAAATAAGTAAAATGGAATTTCAAGGAAATGATATAGTTTTATATTATTTGCCTTTTTATGATATTAAATTAAATGAAAATGATGAGATAAAATTACACTTAAAAAATGAAAAAACAAATATAGACGTGAAATGTAATATTAAAAAAATATGCAAAAGAAATAACAAAATTATAGTATCTATTACAAGAGAATTAAAAAATAATTTTTTGAATTATATATTGTCATTTAAAATTATGAAATATTTTGAGAAAAAACTTCTTTTTTATCATATTTATTTCTTGCATAATTTAAAAAAGGAAAAAGAAAAAAAATATATACAGAGTTTAAGAGATTTTGTTCAAAAATATAAATTATATATAACTATAAGAAAAATTAATGAAAATATCCAACTGAATTATATATCCATGGAAAAATATTTAAAGAATTTAAAAAAAAAAAAAAAAAAAAGAGGAAAAATATTATCTTATTTAATCAGATTATTCTTTAAAAATTTCAATAATAATGAAATAAGTGACGAAGAAATATGCTTTTTATGTTATGATGAAATAATTAAAGATAAAAAAGACAGAAATTTTTCTGATGATGATTTAAATAATTTTAAGATTTTATGTAAAAAAAAAAAAGAAGATATAAACGAAGAAATAATAAAACAATTTTCTTCTGCAATTCATATCGAATTACCTCCATTTTCTTTTTTTTTTGGTTCCTTAGCTTCTCAACAAATTATAAAGGCGTTAACTCATAAATTTCAGCCAATTTATCAAACATTTTTTTATGATAGAAGAGATTTATTTCAATTTTCAAATATATCAAAAAAATATTATGGAAAATATATGCATCAATTAAATTTTTTTGGTAAAAATTTTCAGAAATTTTTAAATGACTTAAATATTTTATTGGTAGGATCAGGTGCTTTAGGATGTGAATTTTTGAAACTTTTGGCAATAATTGGTGTTTCTTCACATCCTAAAAAAAAAAAATATAAATTAAAAAAAGAAAAAGGAGAAGAGAAAGGGAAAGAAAAAGGAGAAGAAAAGGATAAAGAAAAAGAAGGAGAAGAAAAAGAAAAGGATAAAGAAAAAGAAGGAGAACAAAAAGAAGGAAAAGAAAAAGGAGAAGAAAAAGAAAAGGATAAAGAAAAAGGAGAAGAAAAGGATAAAGAAAAAGAGAATAATTTAGGAAAACTTAAAAATAGAGAAACTTATGAAAGGGGTGGTATGATTCAAATAGTTGATTACGATTTAATTGAAGAATCTAATTTATCAAGACAATTCTTATTTACAACTGAAGATATAGGAAAATTAAAGTGTCAAATAGCTTCAAATAATATTAAAAAAATTAACGAAGATGTAAATACATCTTATTTAAAAATGAAAGTGGATGATTCTATTTTAGAAAATAAAGATTTATTATTACACTCATTTTATTATAGAAAAAAAGGAAATCGAAAATATAAAGAAAATAATAATTTACTGAAAGAAAAAAAATTATGCGATAAATATATAGTTAACAATGTAGATAAAAAACAAAAAAAAAAAAATCCAATAATATGTATATTAAGTTTAGATAATTTAAGGACTAGAATTACTTGCGATCAATTTTGTTTGATCAATTCTTTACCATTAATTGAAGCAGGCATAGAAGGATTAAAAGGAAGTAGTCAAATTGTGTATCCATTTTCAAGTGAAACGTATTCAAGTGATACAAATGATAATGAGGTAGATGAAGAAAAAAATAATTCTTGTACGATAACATCCTTTCCAAAAAATCATAAACATATTATAGAATTCAGTAAAAGTGTATATAACAATTATTTTTATGATAATGTTATAAAAATGAATAATTTTTTAAATGATCCAGTTTATTTTATTGGAGAATTTTGTAAATATGAAAATGTAAGCAATTTAGTTCATTTTTTTAAATTAACAAAAATATTTTTTAATTTAAATTTGAAGAAAAATATTGATATATTATGGAATAACATTTTTGTAAATAATATTATTAATTTGTTAAATAGTAATGAAGAAGAAATTTTAAAATATTTTGAAAGTTTAGAAAAATCACCTCAACCTGTATATTTTAATAAAAAAAATAAAAATCACCTATTATTTTACAAATGTGCTTTAAAAATCTTTAAAAAAGTTTTTAAAAATTTAATAGAAATTAAACCAAATATGATAAAAAATATTTTTTATTATAAACACAGTAGTTCTAACAAATTATCGTTTGAAGAAGCTATAACAAATTTAGTTCAAAAAAATAACATATATATAGATTTAAAAAAATTTTTTTATTTTTTGTCAATTATTAAAAAAAATACCAATTTAAGTTTTTATTCTACTATTAAAAAAGAATTTTACAATTTATTTAATAACCCAATATTTATTTTATCTTTGAAATATATTCAAGAAAAAAAAAAGATAAATGAACATAAAAATAAGGAATTTCATGTTTTTATACCTCTTATTTATAATTTACAAAATAATAAGGATGACATAAATTTTATTTTTAGCATTTCTAATATAAGAAATGAGAATTATAACTTTTCTAAATTGAATATTTTGGAATTTTTTAAAATAGCTAATAATATCATACCTTCTATAGTAACTGTTGTTTCAATGATTTCTTCTTTAGTCATTTTTGAATTTTATAAAGTAGCCTATTTCTTAAAATTAAATAAAGATATAAATGAAAACAAAATATTTAATAGTAATATTAAAAAAAAAACTTATTCTTTGAAGGAACTTTTTTCAAATTATAACAATCTTAACTATGAAAAATTTAAAGACTTTAATATTTGTATTTACAAAAATATGATAATTGCAAAAAGAAATAACAAAATCTTATTTTACTTTTTTAATATAGATTATGATAAATTAAAAAATATATCTAAATCTATATATAACCAATACATTAACTTAGAAGATAACTTTTTAACCAAATCTCAATTGAATACTGTTGATTCCTTATCGTATGAAAATGTTTTAATACCATTATTAAAAAACATAAAATTTTCATTATGGAATTATATTTATATTGATATATTTAAAAAAAAAAATAATACAAATGATTCATGTTGTAATGTAGGTTTATGTGATTTACCTTCTTATGTAATTAACAATCAAATATGTGTTTTGTCAAAGAGTAAAATAAAAACTATAGAAAAATATTTAGATCTTCTTAATAAAGAAATGAATGATTTATTAAGATTTCCTAATAATAAAAAAATAGATGAAAATGAACAAAAGATAATTGATGAGAAAAGAAAAATAAACTATAAAAATACTGATTTAAATATAATTAATAATAAATGCATTGATATAATACTAGAAGATATAGATACCATTATAACTCTTATAAAAAATAAAAAATTATATAAAATTACTATAGATGCAGAAGATAATAGAAAATTCTGGGATTATGTAAGAACAAACATATGTGGCATTAAAAAGCATACTAGTTTTATATTAGAAAATAATTATAAAGAAAAAAATTATTTAAATACAAAAAAATATTTTGAAAATATAAAAGAATATATAAATAATTTAGAAAAAATTATAAGGGAAGTTAAAAAAGATATGATATTTTTTTCTAATATTAATAATAATATAAATGAAAATGATATAACTTTATATGAATTAGTAAATTATATAGAATTATTATTTAATGTTAATATTCAAACAGTAGGTGTTAAAGATAAAATTATATATTCAAAATTTCTAATGAATTCTTTAGAGCATAAAAATAGAAAATGTTTATATGATATTTTACTAGATGCTTTTAAAAATGAAGAAAAAATAGAAAAAAAAAATGAAGTAAAAACTTTTATATTAAACATTTTTGCAACTGATAAAATAAGTGATGAAGAAATTATTTTACCAGATATTCAAGTAAATATACATAATCATAATTAATTTTATATATATATATATATATATATATAAATATTTTTAATAATTCTAGATTTTTTTTTTTTTTTTTTAGCCTTTATTATTAATTTGTTAACATTTTTTGTGTTTATTTATTTATTTATTTTTTTTCTTTTTACAATTTAAAACATTTGTTTTTATTAGTAATTTTTTTTTAAGTTCATTTTTTTGAGAATCTATTGAATGATAAAAAAAAAAAAAAAAAAAATTAAATAATATTTATTAATTATTTAAAAAATAGATTATTCAAAAAAATATAAAAATTTAGTTTATCAAATATTAAAATCAAAAAAAAAAAAAAAAAATAAAATATATTTATATACAAAATAATTTATATACTAACATAAACATAGACACAATTTTATTTTCTATATATGTTCCAATTTAAATTTCTAAATATTTTGTATTTCCTATATATTTAGTTTTTTCTTTTATAACTTATACATTTATATAAATAAGATATATATATATATATATATATATATATATATATATATATATATATATATATATATATATATATATTAATAATAATTTACACATAGTTTAGGTTAATAATGGAATTCATATTATATATATTTTGTATAATATATGATCATATTAATAATAATAAATAAGTTGAACAAAAATTAAAAAGTTAGAATTTATAACAAAAAATTAAATAAATTTAAAAAAAAATCTTCACTGTTTTAATTTAAATATAATATTACAATTTAAAATTTTTGAAGATAAAAAAAAAAAAAAAAAAAAGAAACAAACAATAAAAAATTTTAGAATATTCAAATATGTTCTTGAGTATTTTTTATAATAAAAAAATTAAAAGTATGGTATTTATTAAATAATAACATAATAAAAAATAAATTTCTAAAAATATCATTTAAATAATTTTTTTAGATGTAAAAAATTTTTTAAAATAAAAATCTTGTATAATTGCGGCAATAAAAATAATAATTATATTAATAATTGAAAACCACATTAAAGTATCATTTAACTTATCACTTGCCGCTTTTTCTTTTTCTTCCATTGCTTTAATTCTTTTAAGATTTACATGAAAGTTATTCATTTGATCAATAATTTGTTTTAAATATATTGAAGCTTTATTTAAATGTTCTGTTTTTGCTATTCGTGTATAATCTCTTGCTTCTGTTCCATGTTTAATTTCTAAATAAACATTCATATTTTTATTTGATCTATTTTGTAAACAAAAAGAATAAGAAGTAGAAAAAAAAGTTGTGAACGCTGTTTTTATATCATGTTCATTTCTAGATTCAAATATAGGTAATTTAGGTTGATAATTAAAATTTTTTTCACTTACATCTGAATCATATATGAAGAGTGAAACTAAGTAACTCTCATTGTCTGTTTTAACCTTTCCCACAACTAATGTATCTTTGTTAATTCTTTCTTTTATACATTTCAATTTATTTGAATTCAATGTAATATATATTTCTATACCATTAATCAATACAACTTGAAGAAATACTATTAATAAAAATAAGATCATCTTATTTGTTTTATTCATTTTTTTTTTAAATGTGTTTATTAAAAAATAAAATGTTTTTTTTTTATGAAACACAATGAAAAATTTTAATTTTTATATATAACATATAATTATTATATACTATTTAAAATTTTATTTTTCTCTTTTTATGCTTATGTGAAAAGTTTTACAAAAAAAAAAAAAAACTAAATCTTTGTTCTATATAATTATATATATATATGCCTTACATATATCCATTCAATATTTTTAATCAATTAATAAAATATTTTTTGTATAGTATTTATATAAAATCTATCTATTATTTAGTTAGATCTTAATTTCTCTTAATAAATTATATTTTTTTTTTTTTTTTTTTATACCACTTTATAAATATATCCTTTAATATTATTTAAATATTTTTTGAATTTTTTTTCATCATTTTATAATCTTATAAAAATATTAATGGAATATAAATAATTTTCCTATTGATATTTCATTTTTTTTTTTTTTAAAATATAAAGAAATAAGATATTTATTAAATAAATAATATTAAAAATTAATATTTATATAAAAATATTTTTTTAAATAATGCATTCTTAATAGGAACTAATCTAAATATATATTTTAATTAAAAAAAAAAAAAAAAAAAACGTAATAAAAATCGTTATTATTATTTTTAATATTTATAGAATATATGATTTACATCATTTTTATAATTTCAATATCTTCTTAATATATATATATATAAAAATTAATTTTAATCATATTTTATCTTTTTAAGTAAATTTATATTTTTATTTCCATACTTTATTTTTTTTTTTTTTTTTTTTTTTTTTTTTNCTTTTTTTTTTTTTTTTTTTTTTTTTTTTTTGATAATATATGAAAAATAATTAAAAAAAAAAAATATTTTTATTTTTTTTTTATTTTTTTGTATTCTCAGTATATATATATATTTTTTTATTTATTTATATTATTATTTTAAAAATGTTAAGATAACACTTAAGAGAAAATGGTGTGATTGGTTAATTACTAAATGAATAAATTAATAAAATGATTCATTATTTGTGTAAATTTTGAATAACCAAATTAACAAAAACATGAATGATAAAAAAAAAAAAAAAAAAATTGAAGAATAATAAAAAAAAAAAATTCCTTTACATATGTACTTTTTTTTTTTTTTTAGAATGTCTTAAGAATGTTTTATCTAAAATTATTATAATTCTATTAATGAAATTTAAGTAAAGAAAAACATTTTTACATTAAAATATATATAAATTACAAAATAAAGAAATTGGTAGACATAAAAATTTTCTTTTTTTTTACATTTATATATTTTATTGCAAAGATGAATTCATCAAATTTAGATGAAGATGATGTAAATTTAAATGATGAAGATATTGTATCAGAATTAGTAGAAAAAAAAGATATAATATGTTCATGGTGTTTTGATATTTTAAAACATGAATTAAAAAATGAAAAGTTTGATTATGTTCCACCTATATTAAAAAAATTACATAAAAAAGGAGTCAAAATTCCTTTTTTTGTAAAATGGATGAAATTAATTGATATAAAAGATTTAGGGTCGTATAATTGTGATTTATATGATTTGAAAGGATGTATTGGATGTTTAAATGATATTGATATATTACAATTATATTATTACACTTTGCAAAGTGCTCTTAATGATACAAGATTTTATCCTATAACATTAAAGGATTTGCCTTATTTAAAAGTAACTATAACTTACTTGTTTAATTTTGAAAAATGTAATCATATTTATGATTGGATTATCGGAAAACATGGTATAAAAATTAATTTTACCATAAATAGGAAAAAATATTCTTCTACTTTTCTTCCAGATGTAGCACTTCAACATAACTTTGACCACAAAATGACTATCAGAAAATTAATAAGAAAAGCAAACTATAAAGGAGAGATAAACGATGAACTTTTAGAGAAAATTCAGGTGGAAAGATATGAAGGAATAAGTTGTAGTCTAACTTATCAGGATTATGAAAAACTTAAGTTTTCATACAGTTAATATTATTAAAATACGTATATAATAAAAAGAAAAAATAATAATGTGCAATATATTAAAAGAATAAAATAAAAATAATAAAATAATATAAAAACTTACACAAAATACTTTTTCTCCATTAAGGGAAAAAAAAAAAAAAAAAAAAAAAAAAAAAATTTATTTTTTATATTAATTTTTCTTTTTGTTTTTCTTTTTATTTTTTAACATTTCATTTATATAAATATATTTTTTTTAAAATTAAACAAGGAATTTATTATTAAAAAAAAAAAAAAAAAAAAAGAGCATAAAACTCGTTGAAATTATGTTTAAAATATTTGTACTTTCAAAAATGAGAAGAAATTTCATGTAAATATATTATATATTTTAATATTAAAAAGGTAAAAAATCAATGGATAATATATTTTTCAATATATTTCTGTTATTTATAATTTTACCTTTTTTATTTTATATATATGATATCCAATTTCTGTTAAAATGTATTTTTGAAAAGTTGATTTTTTTATATTCATGAAAAAAAAAGTAATTATTAAATATTTTATTATAGAAATTAAAAAAAAAAAAAAAAAAAAAAATGTAATTATTACTAAAAAGAGCAAAAATTATGAATAAAAAAAAAAATTTTTTGTAGAAAAATAAAGGATACAATTATTAAAAAAGAAAATAAAATTTTAAGAATAAATTCTTCCTTAAAAGTAAACATATTTTTAAAAAATTGATAATAATTTAAATAAACCTCACTATATAAGAAAATAAATATTTCTATATATTTCTTTATATTTCTTTATATTTCTATATATTTCTTTATATTTCTATATATTTTTATGAACTTAATAAAAAAGAAAATAATAAATTCTATATTTTTAAAAAAATGGTTACATAATAATTTGAGATTTATAAATAATTTTAAAAATGTAGAAAATTGCTTAAATGATATAAAGACAAAAGGAAAAGATATTAATGTGTTAAGCTTAGTAATAAGTAATAACAATTTGTGTTACTGTTTATTTAAAAATAAAATTATTAAAAAAATTGGATTAATTAATATTAAAAAGGACATTTATTCTTATGATGAAAATTCTATGAACACAAAAAAAAAAAAAAATTACATTGAAAATGTAAATAAAAGATATAATTATGATAAAGATGAAAATCCTTTAAGTTTTAATATTAGAGAAATTCTAACAATTTTAAATTTCATTAAAATATATTCAAACAAAGAAGAAAATGATTCAAAAGAAGGATTACAAAATAATGAAGATAGAAATTCAGAAATAATTAACAATGGAAACTCATATAAAAACATAAGTAAAAATGAAATCGAAAGTAATAACGAACATATTAATGTAAATGAATTTGATAATTTCAAAGATAGTTCTTCAAAAAAAAAAAAAGAATGGATTATAGGTATAGAAAAAGTAAATGAAAAATATGAAAAAAATAGAATAAAAGAAAAAATTTTGTCTATTATTGTTTATTTTATGCAGTCTATTTTTAAATGTAAAATAATTTTTTTTTGCCCAAAGGAAGCAAGAAAGTATTTTAGTAATAAATGCAACTATAATTTAACAAATAGAGAAGAAGCATATATATATATAAAAAATAAAATAAAAAATTTTCCTAAAATTGATGAAAATAACAATAGCTTAAATTGTTTATTTAGTGATTGTTATATTATATCATTTTACACATACAGATATTATATGCATGAACTTATTAAAAATAACAGAAAAATTTTTAATTATTTAGAAAAAGAAGTTAGAAAAAATAAAAGTTTTAATCATATTTTACAAACATTAAAAAAAACAGAAAATGAAAAAAGTAAAAATGATTTAAGAGGCTTATTAAAAGATAGGATAAATAGAATTATTGAAAATGAAGCATATAAATTAGTAGATAAATATATTGTTTAAAAAAAAAATATAACATTAAAAAAAAAATATAAAAAAGAAAATGTTTTCATTTTTTTTTTATTCTGTTTTTTTTAATATTATATTTCAAAATAATTTTTTTTTTTTTTCTTTTTATTAACATATAATTTAAAATAACATTGCCTATGTTATATATATATTTATTTTTGCTGTAAAGAAACTTTTTAATTTTTTTGTAAAAATAAAAATTTTTTTTTTAAATAATAAGAAAAGGAAAAACATAAAAATAATTTTTATATGTAATTAAAAATTATGAGTTAAATATATAAAGAAAAAAAAAAAAAAAAAAAAAATTAATTATAAATTAAAAACTAGAAAGCATATTTTTTTGTATCAGCTACATTAATTAGGCTATTATCAATATTTTTTGGAACACATATTAAAATAATTATATTATTTTCATTAGTATATAAAAAATGAATATTAATTATATTTTTTTTCTTTAATTCTGTTATTTTCTTAAAAGAAAGATCAAATAAATCAAACATATTTTTATCTGAAGTTATATGAATATCTTTTGTTTGTTCGATCATTTTTCTCACATTATTATTTGAATTTAGTATATCACTTTTTATATTTCTTCTTTTAATTTCATTTTGAATCATAGTATAAATATTTAAGTCTTGAAAATACATCTGTTTTATATTTAAAAAGTTATATTTAAAGTTTAATGATGATAAATAATATTGATCAAATGTATTATTATTAAGTGATAATAAATTATGTACATTCGATATTTTTATATCAATAATAGAATCATCGAAAATATTTAATCCAACTAATTCTACTTTATTATGGCTTTTTAAAATTAGACAATAATTATATTTTAAGTAACTATGTTTCGTTATTTCGTCTTTCTTTTTTATTGTTACATTTTTTTGTTTTTCTTTTATTTTTTCTATATTATGTATTCTTGTAAATGTTTTTAAATTTAATAAAGTAATTTCACTAAATTCATTAAAGTTGTATTTTTCAATGTGTATTCTTTTAAGAAAGTCTATTCTATTTAAATTAAAATTAATGGAGTATATATATATAGAATTCTCTAATGTGAAAACAAAAAAAAAATCTTCAATGACAATATAAAAAAGATAACTACGATAAGTATTTTCTTCCATCAAATTGAAATTATTTAGAACTATTCTGTTTTTTAAAAATTGTTTAGAATTTTTAAAAAATGCATAAATATTTTTCTTATAATCTGAACATACTATTAATCCTTTTTTATGTTTCTTGAAATTACATAAAATATTATCAACTTTTAGATCTTCTTTAATTGTTTTTTTTTTAATATTATATATAATGACATGATAACTAAAATTATTCTCATACATATTCAAGTTTTCATTTATATTACTATTAAAAATAACATGAAACTTCTCATCATTTTTCATAAGTGTTTTATTTCGTATGTCTATTTTATCTTCTTTATAATTTTCAATTAAATTATTATTTTCATCTTTTATTTCACCTTCATTATTGTGCTTCTTATTTTGTCTAATTAAAGAAATAATAATTAAATTACTATTTAAAAATATGAAATCGTAAACTTTAAAAAAGTTTATATTGGATAAATCATAATTAAAAATATTGATTGAATCTATATCAAAATGATATAAACTGAAGTTTCTATTAGTTATACATGCTATTTTATTAGATTTTTTATTTAAGCTACAAGAATTTATGAATTCATTTTCTTCATAAGAAATATTAGCTATACATTTGTAATTGGATGGATTAACATAAGAAATATCATTATAATTTATTTTTTCACTTTTTTTTTTTTTTGTTATATAATGATTGTTATAATATATATTAATTTTCTTTGAATAAACACATAAAATACTCTTTAAATTTGATGAAAACATAACATTTTTATTATTTGAAATATCTGTTATAGAGTAATATTTCTTCCAACTCTTGTTTACATCATGAACACAGAAAGTTAAATCGTCACTTATACTTAAAATATAATTAGTATTTAAACAAATAATTTTTTTTATATCAGAAATATGAGCTGATTGTTTACAAATAAAATACCATTTGTTATTTAATTTCCTAAATAATTTTATTTTATGAAAAAAAAAAAATTTTTTTAAATCATCTCCTTCTATGAAATCATCTTCATTATTAATAAAATTATTCTCATTATTGTTGCTTTTTAAATTAGTTAATGAATATTTTATTATATAACGGTCTATTCCTGCTGAATATATACTTTCTTCATTTAATGATTTAGTTAAAGATATTGATTTATAATTATGATTATTAAAATGATACTTAATTGAATAAGATTTATTATCAAAAATAATTAGTGAACCACTATTATCAACACATACAACTTCATCTGTTTTATAAATATACATAATATCCCATATAACACAATTTTTATTCATACTTAAAAATTCACCCACACATTTATTATTAGATAAATTATACTTATATATTTTTGAATTATCACTACCTAGTAATACATAATGATTATAACTATCATATGATTTTTCTATAGAATTGATTTTTTTTTTTAATTTTTTTTTTTCCTTATTTTTTTTCGTAATGGATTTTTCTTTGCTATTACATTTGTTCTCTTCATTTTCATTTTCTTCAGTGTTCACGTTACACATACTTTTTCTTTTCTTTTTGTCTTTTTTTTTTTTCAAGTCATCTAATTTTTTCAATAAAAAACTTCTTTTCTTCAATACATCCATAAAATATATGCAAACTAATTTTTCCTTGCATTTAATTTTATTTTTAATATAAATATTAAAAACATCCAATGAATTATTATTTTCTTTTTCATTTATAAAATCATCATTCTTATCTTTAAATTTATCAGTGTTAATAATTTCATTATTATTATAATCATTTAAATAAGAAGAAAGATCATTTGATAATTTTATCTTTTTATTTTGTGAATATAAATTTATATTATTTTTTTCCTTATAATTTTCATAGAATTTATCAAAACAATTATAAATCGTATTTTCTTCATTTTTATATATATTATATAAATAAAAATATCCATTTAAGTTACTTAATCCAAAATATTGTAGGCTGTTATTTAATTTACAGCAACTTATACTTCCATTTGATAAAATTTTATGGACTATATTTTTATTTTCTAAATTATAAAAAATTATACTTCCACATAACGTTGATATAGCTAATAAATAATCATTAAATTCATTATTCATAAATAGATCTCTTTTATTTTTTTTGCTGATCCACATTATTGATTTTATTGTACTGGAACAATAAATATCAACTTTTTGTATATATAGAAATTCATTTTTTAATATTTTATATATATATATTTTACAAAAAGAATCAGATATACTCATATATGTTTTGCATGGTGATATTTGAATACAGTTCAGCTCTTTTTTTTCTGTTTCATAAAAGTTAAAATCTGCTAAACTCACACTTGTTTTTGAATTACAGCTTCCATATAAATTATTTAAAATATTTCCAGGTTCATTAATATCTTTATCATATATTGCAGTCATTTTTCTTTTTTTTTTTTTTTTTTTCTTTT